CTGCTGCCTGCCTTCCAAGTGCAAGGTCCTGAGTTTGATTCCTGGTACCAAAACCAAAATTAATAACAACAACAAAAACAAAAACTACAGTAAAGTCTTGAAGGATGAAAACTGAGAACTGACCCCTGGACTCAGGGACTAGAAACTACTGCTAACCATTAAGGGAACCCTTCTGACTATCAAGGTAGAAATAGAAGACAAATTGAAAAGCATTAGGGTTAAACGAAAACATTTCTATGTTAGGGCCATGGATTTAGCTCAGTGGTGCCGCTGCCTGCCTTGCAAGTGCAAAGTCCTGAGTTCAATTCCCGGTACCAAAACAATAAAAATAAAAATTCCTAAGTTATATACAGAAATCTTGGGAAATGTAACTATGTTTCAACAAGTTTTTCAGCCACTTAAACACACACAACTCTCCCTACTGCTCCTAAAGAGCTCTACCTCAACACAGAAGACCCAGCGACTGAAGGCAAAGGTAAGCAGGAAGAAAAGCAGGGCAGAGGATTTCTTGCTACTGTTACCGCTACTCCTATTTTCATCTGTCAGAAAGGGAAAACTGCTATCGTTTCCCAGAGAGCACTTGAGGCTGGAAGCTGAAAAATACACATCTGCCAGCTTGTAAGAAGACTCAACACTAACAGCATTTTTCAGACAGAAGATTCCTCCAGAATTCCATTAACTCCCCACTACAGGCAAAAACAGTCACCCCATTTAACTAGAGAAAGCAAGTAAGAGAAAGGCTAAATGACTGCTGACTAGGAGACAGTGACTGACAGATCAGGTTTCCTTCCTGCTCCAAGTCCTCTCTCTGTGCTGATTAGATCTACTCTAACTGCCTTTATAAATGTTTCAATGAATTTTATCTTCATGCATTGGATTAGCAAGACCAACTCCCCACTGATAATGCAAAATAACCCTGAAATGTTTCATGCCTTGCTGATAAGCCAGAAATTGAACTTCCAGTCTCCATTTGGACTGTGATGATCTTGATCTTTCACCTTTAGCAAAAATCTCACAGCCGTACTTTTAAAGTTAGTAATGAGAGCTTCATTTGCTTTCCAAGCAGACAAAAAACCTTTTTCAAATACAATCAGGCTGCCATGACCTTCATCTATGACATAAAGAGTTCACTACATGTGATAAATTTCTTTGCTCAAGAGACATTCTTAAATTTTCTTTGAAGGGATTTGGTCACCAACTCTACTGATGAAACTAAACACACACGCACAGGCACACACACGTGCGCACACACACATACACGCACACACACACACACTTGTACCTGTTACCTTTCTTCTATACCAAAAATGTTTCATTAAAACATACTGGAAATTCAACATGACTATTAAAGAATGCTAAAATACATGATAAAGTATCAAACTAGTTATTTTTACATTAACAGAAGCACACTGCCTTAATCCTGTACTAGGGTAATGTCTCCAACTAGCAAACAGTCTCACCTAAGCAAGACTCCATCCACGTGGGTGTGTTTGGGTTTTTTTCCTACATTAAAATAGTAATGAATGATAAAGGTCAATGTAAAGCAATTTCACTTTTTGTTCTAGTTTTTTGAAGTTTACATCAAGAAAACAGGTTTTGAATAGTTTAAGATCACACTGAATCTAAGCTTCTCAAAGGCAGGCACAGATGGTTAGAGTTCAGAAGACAAACGATCCCAGAGTTTGGCACCTTAGACGGTGAGTGTGAACTAAAGGAGAGAAGAGTGTCTCAGAACAAAGAAGAATCCTCTAACCTCCTATCCTCCTTTTCCCCACTGAGATCGTAGATTCTAGATCACTAATCTCTTCTCAGGTCCCCTAAAGATCGTCTTGCGACAGTGTCCTGCCCCAAACCTGGGGGAGTGATAGAAATGTCCTACAGAGATAGAAATGAATCTGAACGGACTCCCCCCACTTTATTCACATTGGGTCACATTCCCTTTTGTCTGGTAGTGTTTCTCTATAACTGTCCACTTCTTTCATCCGACAGCATAAAAATATAGTTTTCTCTGAGTCTTTGGGTCCTCATTTATGAAGCTTCCCTTGGCATACAAAACCTGGGTAAAAACAAATTTGTTATCCTTGCCTCTTGTTAATCTGTCTTTTGTTATAGGTGTGACACTAAGAGTAAAGAGATTATTTTGTCTTCTCCTTCTTATTCCCTATGGTAGAAAACAATGTCTTAAGAAAAATGGTTAAATGCCATATTCCATTTCTAAAGTTGGATCGGGGCATAAAAGCATTTAAAATGCTTTAAAATGTGCATATGTGTTTAACATAATCTTTTACAGACTAACAGATTTCATATGTTTAAAAGGGAGACCTAAGCCCCGTCCACCAGGCACTTTAATTCAATAGGTATAGGGTGGATATGAAGAAATTAGGTTTATTTTTTAATCCATACAAGTAATAATACTCATGCAAATGATCTATGAAATTCATTTTGAGGAAAAAAAAAAACCCAAGCAGATCTAAATAATATGCCCATAGTCAGTTCACCACTATTAGGGACAAAGATAACTGCTTTCACGGCTTCAAATGCCAGGCTTAGCTTGAAACACAGATAACAGAGTTTAGCACAAATGTAACTCCTAGATCTGAATATTAAGTTTTTCCTAATTGCCCTTACTTTAATCTATTAAAATTACAACTGATTGTCTTTTTCTTTTTCTTCCTTCAAAGATTCAAAAATAGAAATCCTTAATTATATTTATCTCCTATCTGTCGATACTAGGCTCTCAAATTTTTATATTATATATTTTATATTTATATATCTTCACAAGTCTTAGGAGTAAAGATCTGCATTCACATTACACTTTTAGGAAACAGCATTTAGCTGAATCCTCTCAGCTTGCAAAAGAAGAAATATTGAGGGTTAAGGGTATATCTCAGTAATACAGCACTTACTTAGTACCACTCAGTACCCAGCACCACCAAAGAAGGGGGAGGAGGAATAATACCAAGGTAAAAGTAGGTAGTACAGTTTTTCACCTTTACCTTTTTTAGCTTTTTCACTTGAATAACAGCATAAATGAGAGAAGTGAAATATCTCTATAATTATAGAATGAAAAATTCATAACTTTATCTCCAAATGTGAAATAAATTTCTAGTTTTTGTTCTGAGTTTCAAACTTAAGTATTATGGTAACCCTACCATATCAAGGTAAACAACTGATACTATTTGCTCTGAAAAGAGTACACTTTGAGCTTCGAAATTAGAATTTTTGAAAACATATCTGTCACCTTGATCTTGACAGCTTCTCAATATTTGAAGGCTTTTTTTTTAAGGTAAGTGGTCATTTTAAATGATATCACTTTTAAAACTTTCACAATGAAATATGTCCACATTGGGAAGGCTACATAACTCAGTGAACTCGATACTTTTTTCTCTAACGACCAATACATGCTGATACAAAATCATACAGGGATGAATAGCCATTCAACCTTCATAAGAGACCAATACATTGTTTTTTACTGTGCTTTTTCTTAGTGCACATGTATGGTACATAATAAATATTGTACATTCATTGAGGCTAGTAGATACACATACATGGCACATTTTAATTCTTTTTATGTCTCTTTCCTCTCATCTTCTCACATTCTCTCCATTTCTTGGTCCCTTCCCCATTTGCAAACGATCTATCTCCTATTGCCTATCTTTTATTTTGCTCTGTAGTTTATTTATACTTCAGATTTCTCATATAAAAGAAACCATACAATATTTAAGCTTACATGTCTGACGTGTCACTTACCACTGTGGTATTTGTTTGTTTGTTTTGTTTTTTGAGACAGGGTCTTGCTATATAGTCCAGGACGGCCTTGAACTTGTGTCCATCCTACTTCCTCAGTCCCCTGAGTGCTGAGATTACAAGTGTGTGCCACCATTCCTGGCTCACTTAACATTATGAATTAAGGATACATCCATTTTTCTACATATGACTCAAGCTTTAACCTTCTTTATAGCAGCATAGTGCTCTGCCGTATAAAATATTACATTTTTATCTATCCATTCATCTGTCGAGGGACATATAGGCCAGGCCACTTTCAAGATTTAGCTATCATGAACTGTGCTGCTATAAGCACAGGTATACATGTATCACTGTGGGGTCTTTAACTCTTTCAGGAAGATACCAAGTAGGATATTAAATGAAAATGTGGCTGCATAGCAAAAGAAACAACAGAGTGTCAACCAATTTACAGGATGGGAAAAAATTTTGCCAGTTACAAATCAGACAGAGGATAAGATCTAGAATATATAAAGAACTCAAGAAAATTCAGCCCCCCTCCAAAATAAAAGGCCCCCGCAAAAAAAATAGGCAAATGAAATGAATAGACATTTTTCAGAAGAAGTACAATAAATTTTTTTAAATGTTCAGCATTGATAACCATTCATGAAATGCAAATTAAAGCAACACTGATGAGATAGAGGGCTAGGGCTGAAACAAACCATTAAACAACTGGACAAAATCTGTCAAAGTCACGGCAACTGAGGGCACCTGCTCTGGCCATGGCATCTAGGATGACTCTGCAGTCCCTGAGCACTGGAAGCAAAACCAATCAAAAAGGGCTCTTTTCCATCCTTGCACCATTTACTTCTGAAACAAAACCAAGCAAGTCTTGACCAGGATGGTTTAAATCTGGTGCTAAGCCAAGTGAGTTGATGGCAGGGCTTATCTGCATGAGAGAAAAGCCAACCCAGGAATTCCAGATATGAAAGACTCCCTCCCCTTATCCTCCTGGCCCCTGTCAATCTGCCCACCAGCCTGCCCCACTCTGCACAGCGAACTTCTTTTCCACCCTTAGTAAATGCACATCCCCACTACCTTTTTGGTATGTTTTGTCCAATTCATTGTTCAGGACACCAAGAACCTCAAAAATATTTCCCTGAGACCCAGCAACTTTTTCTTCACAAAGCAGCCAGGAGATAAGATCCTTTTGGGTAAAATTGTTATTTATTTATTTATTTAATCTTTTTCTCTTTTCTCTTTCCCATTGTTGCTAGGGCATCTGCTGTTAACAAGGCACGGAATGGATGGACTATTTTAGACTCCTCTGGGTGCCAGAAAACTACACACCATCCAGTTTCCATGCACCTTACTGCATGGTACAACAGATTACCTGGGAGGCCAAATTCAGCAATGCCAGTAGTTATAAAACTAAAGGATTCTAGCCAATTTTCAATTGGAAAACAATATCCAATAAAGAAGAGGCCCATGATGACTTCAAGTTTAATGTGACTCTTTTGCTCCCAATATTTTATTCAGCTTTCCCATTCTTTCGAGACTGGAGGGTAGACAGAGCTATCGGTCAGTAACTTGGTTTCCTGCTTGAGTAGACACCTACCCCAGCCCGTCCCTTTCTGTGCTCACCATGATCAAAGTCTCATTTGAGCTTTACCCCTAGATAGCCTTTTATCTCCAGCAGTCCTCAGTAAGTCACTTACTTCAGGGCCTCATTTCCTAAAACCTCAGGAAGCCACCCCAATTTACCTTCATGCTGTTTCCTAATTGTCCTTGTAGACACCAGGAAATCTCACCCTTTTAGACAGGCAAGATGGTCTCCACTTTTGGGGACTATATGGGCTTCTTTCCCTGTTCCTTCTACAATTAGGTAGATCCCCTTCCTGTTTCCTGTAACAGAAATTCAAGTCACTTAAAAATTTGTGCCCAAGAGCCCAAGCAGAGCAAAGTGAAGAGACAATGAAGGTCAACACGACCAGTTAGGAGGATGCAGAAGCAGAGCTGGGCTATTTTAGTTTAAATCAGGATAAATGGGAGGGGTACTGTTTCTCAAGTAGTTAGATGGACCCAGGAGGGAAGGCTCCACTCTGGTCTTTAAGGAATCACAGGCCACAGGCTATGGAGAGGTCTAAGCAAAAAAGAGGGACCAGTGACACTTGCTTTGACAGAGATGTGTGGTAGTGCAGTTTGAGTTTCATGGGAGATGTCCCAGAGCTCAACAGGTCTTTGTCCTTCTGTGGGATACCCCTCATAAAGATCCCAGAACCAGTCTTGTCTCTCTCCATGAGCCCCACAAAATGTAGATACCTGTAGATCCCACTGACCTCTCCATTGGGCTGTATCCTTAAAAACTGAAAACAATATGACCCTGACAATATGAGAAAAAAATTTTTCTTCTATTCAAATACTGCGTAGATCCAGTATGAACTATAAAACAGCAAGAGATGGGTACAGAATGGAACACTAAATTACAATGCTATTCTTCAGTTAGACCTTTTCAGCAGAAAGCAAGGAAAGTCCCTGCTCCTGCTCCATGTGTCTGGTTGCTGATGTGACCGATTAATGCACTAGAGGACTGACTGCCCCTGCTCCCAGAGAGGGGTGAGGCAGCTCAAACTGCTACCTCCTGCTCTGATGAATAAGACTCAAGGGGCCAGGCAAACTGCAGCACACCTGCCTGCAGGCATCTCCATCTCCTGCAAGGAATCTTGGGTGCTATGGGTAAACAAATTCAGTTCCTTTTGGATACAGGGCTGGCTTACTCTGGAAACCCCTTCTCTAAATCTACAGCCATAATTAGGGTGAAGGGGAGCCCTAGCCAGAACTTCTTTGCTCTTGCTTTGACATGTCAATCAAAGGCAAAATCTCAACTATGAGTTTTTGATTGCCTCATGGTGTTCTACTCCCTTTCTACAACGAGATAGTCTAGTAAAATTAGGGGTAGTTCTCCAGTTCCAGAAAAGACTAAAGCAGGTTTTATCTGTTGAGACTACACCAGGCCTCCCTGACCTAATTAGTCAATAGGTGGATCTTGCTGCACAGTATAACAGATTACCTGGGAGTTCAAATTCAACAATACTGGTCATTATAAAACTAAGATTCCAGCCAATTTTCCAGTGGAAAACAATATCCAATCAAAGAAGAGACCCATAAAGATCTCCTGTCTCTCTCTCATCTACAGGTTTCTCAAATATGTCCTCCTGAGGCCTTATCAGTCCCACAGCAGTACCCTCATTCTCCCCATAATAAAACCTTCAGGAGAATAATGGATGGTAAAAGTCCTGGGCCCCATGAATGAGGCTGTAATCCCAATCCATCCTCTAGTGGCAGATCCATATATAATCCTCTCCCAGATTCCAGAAGCCACAAAATGGTCTTGGCCATCAAAGATGCTTTCTTTCCTTGTTCCAATTTGCCTTTAAATGGAAATGCCCCATCTGAAAGAAATAAACAATACACTTGGACAGTTCTCACCCCGGGCTTTAGAGGTAGCCTCTTCCTTCTTGCTCAGGCACTGAAAAAGGACTTAAGGAATCTGCAGTGTATACAGGGCCCATCCTATAGTGTGTATGTTTAGATGATAGTCTAATCTGCAGTCTAACTTGGGAGCTATCTAACATAAGACTATCTAAATTATTTTCTAGCTAAAAAGTGATATAAAGTCTTAAAGGAAAAGGCTCCCATATTCAGAGTCAAATGCTTACAGTACATTTTTACACTCAGGGAATGACAACTGTTTAGGGATATGGACACATCAATTCTCTAGAAAGGTTAAAAGAGTCAACCAGACCCTAAAGCGGACTCTGGCAAAACTTTCCCAAGAGACCTTGGGTCTTGGCTTCAATTATTGCTAATAGCCCTCATGAAAATTCAAAATACCCCCAAAACTAGATAAATATGATCCATCTGAGAGCTAAATGGGCCTTTTTTCATATTCTGATGTGTTAGTGGACCCAGAGATCACAAGGCTCTTATGGTTTCATCTTACTAGTCTTGGCCAAGTACAACAAGCTATTCAAGCAGATGGAAACAAAGTCCTGCCAGTTCCTAGCCCAGGGGAACCACCTGGTATCTACCCTGGAGAACACTGCTCATCAAAATTTAAAAAGACCAATTAAAGCCAAAGTGAAAGGGCCCCTTTTCAGTGATCCTTGCCAAACCTATTGCAATAAACGTGGCAGACAGATAACTGGATTTACCTTTCTAGGATAAAGTAAACCCTACCTGAACTGTCTCAGACAAAGGACCACCCAAAACCAAAAAGCTACTTCTGTGAACTTATGGAAGATCTGAGGCTCCTCTTCAAAAAGCAAAGCTCCAGTACTGCTCCAGGTACAAATAAGTAGAGTCACTAATGACCCCTGATTCACCATAGCTTAAGTGGGCATTTATATTGGACTCCTGCTTTTAACTGAATTCACAATGCGGGTAATCTTTTTAGGATTACAGCTTTCGGGCTCTTGGAATCACACTATCCTCTCCACAGGAAGCATGGAAATAAATCCCCTTAAACTCCTCCCAAATAATAAATAACATGAAAAGATAATGTGACTGATGAATGTGTCACAGTCCACCTTTTAAGACAGACAAGTCAGTATTCTGACTTGTTCCTTCTCATATTTGGCCTCTGCCTCACCAACTCAATAGTAAAGCTTCAGGTGTTGGTTCAGACTACAGCCTATAACTCTCCTGACAAATTCAGCAAGCTTTCTCCTACTGAACAGACAGTTTAACATTCTTGACATACAGGCACTAACTCTTCTCTCGCTGTCTTCTGACAGGTTCTTTGCAGCCCAGCTGGTAAGCCACATCATATTAAAGTAGTCAAAGAGCACATAATCCCCAGCACGAAGGGCCTAGAGTCCCTTTCAGCAGGACATGTCTATAAGAAAAAAGAGACCTCCACTCCTTTAGCATCCCATAATGAAGTATGGGTATTATGCCTCTCAGTCTGGGCAACTTAGTAAGACTCTCTCCCCCCACCCAATAAACAAACAAACAGGGAGGAGGATGCAACTCAGTGGTAAGCACCCTTGGGCCCAGTCTCCAGAACCACTAAAAAAAAAACAAAACAATCTTCGTGCTTCTTAATTTGCCAGGATGGAGATTTGAGGTTGGTAGCCTTTCCATCTTCGCACATTGCCAGCCCTTGAATAAAACTGAGTCCTTCCAACCTATACTGTTGTGAATACTGGTTTTCAAGTGACATCAGCCAGTCACTTAGCGTAGTTACAGTGTGAATATAGAGGCACGACAGTATATGTAGGCCAATTGAGCATCACAGAGAGGTGGAATCAGGGCTTTCATTAAACGGCACTGACACTGAACATAGCTTTTTAAACTTTTAATTTACATGCAACAATAAATCCACCTCCCGTCCTTAGATTTTATTTGTTTCAATGTATTTTTGGAAAGATAATCTCTTACATTTACTTCAGTAAAATCTAGATGCAGTTACCTGATAAAATGATTTTAGAAAAATATTAAATACAAAATTACCTCTCTTTATTTGCATATCATTTTCTTCCACAACTTGAAATGGTCCATTCATTTCACATCAGAGGACATGACCCAAATGAACTCTGGAAATTAGGCCTTAGAAATAACTATTGCATTATGCTACATGGAGGTAATTGGTAACCTTGTCCAGAACAATTCACTTCCTGAACTACCAACTCTATTATCTTTAATTCTTAGTTGACATATATACATGTATGTAACAGGCATTTTAGCACATCAAATAACAAATAAATTCTTGATTTTAAACAAGGATTGGCCAAGCTGGGGATTTAGCTCAGCGGTTCGGTGGCCTGCCTTGCAAGTGCAAGGACCCAAGTTCAATCCCCAGTACCAAAAAAAAAAAAAAAATTGGCTGACATTACAAGTATTCTCTAATATTCAGTGTTCCTCTGCAGGGCACAGAAATTATACTTGGTGACTTTCTCTGGTCAATTTATTTATTTAATTTTTTATTTTTATCAGGACATGTTTTCAGTATATCATGATTACATTCATCATGGGAAGTTGGTGCATTTACAAAACATACCTTAATTCTTTTTACATTCCCCTTCCTCTCCCTGCCTTTCCAATTTAATATGAACAAAAAGTTCATGTATCAGTGCCAATCTAGGCAGTCAAAAGTCCATTTGTGATTTTCTGATCTCTCTGTAATGGCTACTTACAATGCTCTGTATTCCATCCAGATGTTGTGCCTACAAGACGGTGGGACCTCCAGGCAACCAGCCTTCCCACGGACTCAGAGAAGCCAGTGTACATATTTCACCACTAAGATACTAGATTTCTTAGTGATCACCCCAATACCGCCCAGTCTTGCTAAGTTAATACTCCCTCAAATCTGCTGTCACATAGTCCTCTTCTCCTTATCAGTAACCCCATCCTTTCAGACGCTCAGCCAAAAACCCTGGAGTTATTCTTGACCCCTGTTTTTCTCTCACACCACACATCTACTTCATCAGCATCTTAATGCCTTCAAAATGCACCCAGAGTCCAATCACCTTTTACTGTCTTCTCTGCTATCCTATATTTCAAAAGGCACTGGTAATATACAAAGGCAAGGAAGAGATGGGAAAAAATGCTTACAATGCATATAATCAATGAAGATTTTACCAAAGAAGACATACAGATGAAGAGGAAACAAGCTCATTAAAAGATGCTCAACATTATTTAGTCAGTTGGAGATGCAAATTAAATAGTCACAGTGAGATAATATTACATACATACTGGAATGGCAAACATTAAAAAGACTGATAAGGGCCAGTGTTACCCAGGATGTGGAACACTGGAACTCTAACTCACAACTAGCCAAAATGTAAAACACTATAGCCACTTTGGAAATTACTTTGATAAATTTCTTAAAAGTTAAACATACACCTGGGTAAATGAAGAATGCTTTTATATTGACAGAAATTGTCCACTTCAAAAGCTATCTGTAAAAGATTATAACTACAGAGAGATACCTTGGTCAATAGGTAGCAAAACATGAATTTACCAGATGACGCAGCCATTTCTTCCCCAGGTAGTCTCAAGAGCAAAGAAAATACATGTCTACTGATGTGTACATGGATATTTACAGTCAAACAGTAGAAAAAGCTCAAAAGGCCATCAACAGGTGATGGATAAACAATTTGTAGTCTATCCATATAAATCCTACTTTTCAATAATAAAAAAAATCTGAACTATTGATAAAGACATAAATGATATCAAAAGAAATCATTTCTGATGAAAAACAAACACAAAACAGTACATACAATATGATTCCTTTATTCAAAATTCTAGGAAATACAAACTAATCTATAGTGACAGAAAACAGATGCCTGGTTACCTGAGGAAGAGGAGTGCTGAGAAGGGCAGGAGGAAGGGATGTCAAAGGGACACAAAATTTCTGAGGTTGCTGTGTTTTGAGTAGGTCTCCTAGGCTGAGTACAGTGCTACACACCTCCGGTGCAGCTGCATGGGAGTCTAAGGCAGGAGGATCAGCCAAGCTTGGGAGTTGGAGGCCTGCCTAGACAACACAGTAAAACTCCATCTCACAAAACAAAACAGAAAAAAGGGTGAAAGGATGCTCCAAAAATCATGTGTTAGAAACTGAATTTCAGGGCTGGGAATGTAGCTCAGCAGTGCTATGACTGCCTGGTAAGCAAGGTCCTAAATTTGATCCTAGATTTGGAGACACACACAGACACAGACACACACACACACACACACACACACACACACACACACACACAGTATAAAAAATTTTTTTTAAGAAACTGAATTTCTAAGGCAACAGTATTGAGAGGTGGAGCCTAACGGGAGGTGTTTAGGTCATGAGGGCTCCATGAGAAAGAATGGATTAGTGCCAATTATAAAAGGGCCTCAGGCTACAAGATCAATCTCTCCCTCTCTCTTCCAGGTCCTAGTTTGCCTTCTGCCTCCACCATTGGATGATGTTGCAAGAAGGCCCTCTCCAGATTCAGGCCCCAACTGTGTAAGAAATCAGCCTCTGCTCCCCATAAATCGCTCCATTTCAGGTGTTCTGCTAGAGCCATGCCAAATGGAGTATGACGATGGTTTAAATGGTTAAATTGTTTAAATGTATGTACATGTTATTTCAACAAGACTTGTTTTAGGAAAGAATAAAAAAGATAAAAAATATTTTTGAAAAGAATAAAATGGATGAAAGTTAACGTAGATATGTAGCAGCATCCTAAGACTGAAATGAAATGGGGACCTGTTGTATCTTCCTTCACAGTATTTTTTTTTCTGAGTGAGAAACACTAAGAAAAGCCCCTCAAAACTAAGTCATAGCACTTTTCAACCAAAGAAGACCCATCTGTAAATATGATAGCTTCTGAAAAGCACAACTGCTATTCCAATATAATCACAATCCTTTTGCTGGAGTCCTCTAACAGTTGGATAATTTCTTTGAACTGGTTTAGAAACCTGGCCTAATTTCTCCTTTTATGTCATCTTTAATTGGCACTAAACATTATGAACCTTTCCAAGCAATTTAATTCATTATGAATTTTTTTAGTTACTAAGAAATGCCCATTGTGAATGTCCTTGACCTGTGAGTCTTGCATGAAATGTTTCTTTCCTTGGACCCTCTGTCTTTTGTCTCCCGATTTCCCACTGGGGAGCAAAACTGTCATCTCTACTCCATTCATCTCCCCTGCTCTTCCATCTGAAATCCTAAATTCTACTCATCATCGTCAATTTCTCCATTACCCTAACAGGTGAATACAACCTCCTCTTTCATAAGCTGCTACAGCTATGAGGTCTCTGAATACAACTCCTTTATGTTCAAAACGTAGTTCTGAACAAAGTGAAAGCACAGCATGCATTTATGTTTAAATCAAGTTAGTCCCCAAGACTCACCTCATTTCCACCAACTGCTTTGGTTAAAATCACTGCAGAAGACACAGGGGGAGGCATGCAACCTACTGTCTGCAAACTGAAAAATAAAAGAAAATCCAATGGTAAGTAGTTTTTTCTCTCCAATTATAAATAGCTTCTACTCTATTCATTCTAATATAGTAGAACTGAGCACATAAAAATAAGGAAGTGTTTATTGACACACATTCCCTGTTCAGTTTAGACAATTTTATGTGAGGCAACATGGCTTAAAAAATGGGGCAGATGCACAGGCTCTGTGCTCTCACTACTTTCCTCGGGCTTAGATGGGTTTATTTTTAGTGAAGTTATAGTGAGTACACTCCTTAAAAGACAGTAAAAATGGCCAGTCATTTGGTATGTATATTTTATCGTACATTATTTTTGGGTAAAGTAAAAGTTTTCCTGACACTTTTTGTCAAATGTCTTTTGGTAAAAATAAAGCTCTAAGCCACATCCCAACCCCACGAATATATTTAATAAAGTATAAGCTTATATTTTCAATTTCTATAAAACAACTCTCAAACTTTCATCTCATAAAGACATTGTCATGTTGTAATGTCATTATAGGAACACATGAGACATAATTATATACTGTTTCAGATTTTGTAGTCAGTTCTATCCAGTATCTATTTCAAATTTGGTTTTTATTAAATAAATTATGTTTATATTACCAAGATCATAAAACCATTCTCTTAGATTATGACACAAAATAAATTGCCTGACAAGCACAATGCAAGTAAGTAGGAAATCTAACTACTAAAAATTAAAAAAAAAAACCACACACACAAAACACATTACTGAGAAGTCATATAGAATAGCCTTTTAGGGAAAGCAAACAGCCAGTTTATATGGAAAGTTCAAACACAGAATAGAAGACACACAGCATCTAATGTAAACATATTGTAAGTATGGTTACAGTAATTTTTATTTATTCTTGTAAGAATGTATTATTTCAACTATGTGAAAAATTATATTTCTTCTGAAATATCGAAAATAAAAATATTTTAATTCATTTCAGTTAAAACATAAGAAAACAGTATATAGAATTTCTGGCTCATTCGGTTTAACATGACCTTTTATCATTATTTTACTCTTAGAGAAGGGGTCTACATAGTTGCCCAGGCTGATCTCAAGTTCTTCAGCTAAAGCCATCCGCCTGACTTGGTCTCCTGAGTAGCAGGGACCACAAGTGCTGCAATTATTCCCAGTTTTGTCATCTTTTAAGGTCCGTATTTTCCTAGGTAAAGCTGAAGTGTTCTGTCCTATTAAAGATTCTCAATCTCTGAGTCTTCCTTAAGGTCTGGCATCATCACTGTATGGGGCATTTACCATTTGTAGTAAATACTATGCTAGACATTTTATACCCATTCTCATTTATTCCTCATCAAATATTTTAAATAAATATTACTGCTATCCTCACTTTAATGAAAACTAAAGTTAAGACAGAAGTTAAGTAATTTACCCAAACTCACAAAGCCAGCTCTCCTGGGTTGAACTTTAATCTGACAGCCAGGGCCAAAGACTAATGTGGGCCTCCTCCTTTGGCCTCCCTGCTTTGTATCTCCCCTGCCACAAATGTTAAAGACGAGCTGTCGCAGATATTTTTAACTTTTATAGCTATTCAATCTTTCCTTTTTCTGGCCTCTTCCTTTTTATATGCAATGAAGCAGAATTCGCCCTCTCTTATAAAAAGGTTACCTTATAAAAAAATATATATTAAATACATGGGTTTCTATGAGTAGGATACTATATAAGGGTATAAAAATGCATAAGACAATATTCTTGCCTTCTAGGATATTCAATACACAAATATGGATAACTAACAATAAAATTAGCAGTGTTACCTCTTCAGGAAACATTCCTACTTGTTTCACTGCAATTCACTGTTGACCGTCTTTAAAAAATACTCTACCTCCACGACCCCACAGTTAGTTCTCTCTTAATTCCTCTAGAACTGATTATTTGCCCCTTCTACTAGTATAAGAGCACTGAGCTTAAAACTAACCAGTGCTCTCCAAATCACCAAATGCAATGTCCTTTTCCCTATATTTGCTCTTACATTTTCAGGACACCCTATTTTCTTGGTTACCATTTCACTTTGTCATTCTGATTTATCTCCTATCTTTTAAACCTACTTTTTCTTTCCAATCTGAAAATACCTGCCAATTTACATTTCTAGCGCTACTATCACCAAATTTGTAGCTGCCTAGGCTGTCCCCCTCAAACTAAACATGTCTAATATTAAACTGATATATTTTCTTTTCTCCAGCTTTACTGAGGCATAATTCACAAACTAAAATTGTATATAGTTAGGGTATAAAATATGACATGTTAATCTATATGTGCACTGTAAAGTGATTACCACAATCAAGCTAATTAGTATTCCCATGAGCCGACATGGTTGTCTATGTGTGGTATGAATATTTAAGATCTGCCTTAGAAATTTTTTATATATGAATTTATATATTTTCATAAAAAATCTATTTTCTGTCTGAATTTATCAGAGGAACCAGTTTTCATTTAATGATACAATTTGAAACTTTACTCGTACGCAATTCTATTTTCTCCTCAGAAGGTAACTATTCTGTCACCACCAGCTTCCCATCCTTCCCCATGACTGCTGCTACCATCCCTGTTCAGGTGTTTTCTACCTAAATCTAAACACTTGAAAACGTGCTGAATGAGCACTACCTCTGCTCTGTCCCTTTAACACCTCAAGGTAAGGAGGATGTGCTCAATATAGCTCTTCTCCAATGGGATCCTAAGGTAGGAGTTTGCAACTCCCTCCAGTTCACTGTGTGTGCTCTCAAACTGGGGAGGGGAAGGGAGAGAAAGTGAGCTGAAATGAGCTTTCTCCAAATGAAGTAGACCAAGTGCATACTCCTTTAAGTTTAACATCCCAAGGTGAGAACTATATTTTTGCTTTAGTTAGCATACTGAGATCCAAGTGCTACTCTTCTAATAATGAGATGATACAATTCTATCAAGTTAATCTTCCTTAATGACCACTTTTGAGCACATTCTTTCCTTTTAATAGCACTTTTAAGAGCTCTCCCTCACCTACAGCTTCAAGCCCAAATTCCTCACCTAAGCCATTCAGGTCTTTATAGAGTTGGCCCTGAAGAAACTCTTATCTTTGTTTCCCAATAATGCCTCGTTTTGGGGTATACACAACCCTTGCTGAACCATTTATCCTTTTAATGAATTACACTACTCATCTGACAAAGCATATGGCACCCATTGAAGTTGTTCACTATCTATCTGTGTATTCAACTAGTTTAGAAGTTCCCTAAAGAAGAGGAAACTGAATTAATATCTTGCTGTTCCTTGAGTGTCAGACACGTGGTAGACACTCAGTAGCTACTGATTCTGGATACACATAAATACACTGTTGCTCCAAAATGATGTCATTTTATTTATGGGTCATTTTATGCTTTTTGGTAAAATGTGATACTCATTTTCTCACATTCAATCTAGCCAAAATGGGACTTTTGATTTGCTTCTCTACGCCCAAATCATTTTTCTCCAGTTAAGTAAATGATCCTGCCAACCCAGTTTTCATACCTGAAACCTAGAAACTATTCTTGGTTCTTCCCTGTCCTCATTGTATATCCACAAGAGCTCTACTATTAAAATGTATCCTGCACACACTCATTTCTCTCTAGTGCACTCCTACCTCACTACTTCAGTTGGTCCCCTAGCTTTCTCTCAGCTTTCTCTACTATACACTCTCCACACAGCAGCTAGAAGAATCACTTGCAAATGTAAAGCAGACCACACCACTCCCTAATTTCAGTCTTCCATTGACTTTCTGTAGAACTCAGAATAAAATCTGAATCCTTTACCATGGCAACAAGGTCTATGTACCTGGCCCCAGCCCACCTGTCCATTCCCAAATCATACTGTCCTTCCACATCACTAGACTCTGGAGATGCTAGTAAGTACAGTTGCTAATAGACCTTATTTCCACCTTGGAGACTTAATATAAGATTTCCTTTGCTTAGATCATTCTGCCCCCAAAACTCTGCAATTTAATCACCAGTCTGCTTACCTGAACACTTTCAATTATATCCTGTTTTATTCTTCTCAAATCACTTATCGCTGTCTTGCTCACCTATTTACTTGTTTCTTCCTAATTACACCACAGTCTTCATAATAGGCAAAATGAAATGGCACACTGCCAGTTTTGGTTTCTCCAACCCCATAATAATTCCTGGCATATAGTAGGAGTTAAATAGGTGACTTAGATAAATGAATGTGTGACCTCAAACGTTCCAACACCATTATTTCATAGGAAGTAAAAGTAGGATTATAATTTTAGATAAAGAAAAATTGAGGTCCAAGACTATTAAATAAATTTACTCAAAGTCACACATCATGTTAGGGTTAGGGTCAGAACCAAATCTTTGGGTTGCAAGTTCAGTGTTTAAGTTGTCACACAATGATGCTAAAATGTGGTTAATTTTAAATCACTTCAAAGCATTTTTATTGTTAAGCTGTTTTTATTGAGCATGAAAACATTTTTAATGAAAGAAAAGATTCTAATAAAATCTACTGCTAATTTGATTATTATATATCAAACACAATACAGAACAAGTGAAAAAATATTTGGTCCACATATATATTTTTTCTTTAAATTATACGACATTTTAAAAAAACATATTACACATAGCTATTATCTGTATATATTGTTTGAGAGATAAAATGGAGAGTAAAATCAACCAGAAGACAGTCTATATTATACACATATATATAATCTCCTCTAGTACATTTTTCTCCTGACTCTCAAATTCCCACAAAGTATCTATCCTTGACATCCCAGACTTCTTTCAAACATGCAATATGCCCTAATTCAGGTTTATAAAATTCTGGAGCAGGTGAGATAAGCTATCTATTTGAAGATTATTGATTGTTGATACCATAAGCAAATATGAGTATCTACCTATATTAAAAACCAAATCTTTTACAAAACAATTAGCAGGACTTATTCTAATTAAATATAAGAGTAAGCATGGGGTATATTTTAAGATTCTGTTAAACAATTCTTTGGTCACCCTTTTAATGAAACCATAGTGCTAAAGGATAATTTTACAAGTGTTTTACTTCCTTGTAAGATAGCACACATAAGCCTGTTACAGAGTTGCCACAGAAGGTAGAAATGCCATTAAAAGAACATTCGTCAAAAGATTTAAACATACCCTTTTAAAAGCCATTCATTGATGGATGTGATTGATAAAAGCTGAAGAAAGAGCCATATTGTTGCTGGGAAGAATGCAAGTGTAAAGATCTGAATAAAAAGATGCAGTTTTAAATGCACCAAAGCACTGGTCAGCTCCTGGAAAAATGAAGGATACAAAGTAAAGGTAAGAAACTACTTCTGAAAAAAAGATCACTAGTAAAATAATATCACAAGTTTTTAATTCTGAGATTTTTTCATAGCTAAAATCTTTATAAGTACATGCATAAGAAATATACTTTAAGAGGAAAAAAGTACTCATGAGATTATAAAATACTTTCATATACAATTTTAAAATATTCTAACTTCTTTCAAATATGCAATATTCCCTACCAAGTCAAATTTATAAAATTCTTGACCAGGTGGTATAAGCTAATTACCTTTATACTAGTTAGGTTTGAAGATTGATGACATTATAAACAAACATGAATGTTCACCTGCATTAGAAAATGAATCTTTTGAAAAATATTTAGCCAGACATATCTTTTAAAAGTAAATAATTTATTCATTCTGCGGAATTCATAAGGCCTCAATTTGGCAAGATGTTGCTGAGGCTACAAATAATATTTGTAAATGGTTTCTTCAATGATAGTCTATAATTCAAAGTGATCCCCACAGTCTACTCATTGCAATTCTTCGTCAAAATTTACTGAATAACAGCTATGGGCCGTCATCTAAGCTCGAAACTTTACATCTCATCCATTATCTCATTTAATTTCACAACAGCAATGTCAGGAAAATGCTACCATCCGAATGTTATTTGCTGACGAGAAACTGAGGTTGAAAACCAGCACCAAGCCCATTTCTAGCCTGCTACCACGCCCAAGGCTGCTTCTTTCCTCACACACACTGCTGCCCCAAGAGGGGAAAATGCACATTAAGTATAACCAGGCACCTCTTGCCGCTAAAAAAACAATAATCACTTAACCTCCTCTGGGGTTCAAATACCTATAACCGTATGAGCATTTGCATGGAAATGCATGCCATGAGGTTATCAGTTGAAACAAACAAGCAAACAAAAAAAACTTAGAAAGTAGTAGAAAAAGGATAGTCCTTTCAAACACGGAAGTCATCACTGAAACACATACAAAGATGCCAGAAACTGTTTGGTTATAAACACAACTCTAAAGCTCCTACAAGAAAGACGTTCAAGAGATCATCAGCCTCAGTGACATTAGCCAAAGTTTATCAGCTTAACAAACAATCGTTAAATCACCAATCACCACCTGTCAAATCCGCCTCCCGCTGTCTGTCTTCCTGTACAGAGACACGGGCAATTCCAGTTTGGTCATAACAGGTCTCTAGACACACAGAAGGAACGTCTTGGCATCTAATTCGGGATCACTGGGAAACACTAGACCTATCAGAACCCACCAGTCGTCCTTAAATTGCACCTAAAAGGAGCCACCTTACAATGAGTCGGAATTCTTAAAAAGTTGTACCCACAAAATAACCTTGAATGGTCTTGAAACCAGAGCTCATTTAAGTATATTCTGAAGCACTTGGCAAATATATAATAAACATTCATTCGTTTTATTTTTTAAAACCATAATAAAATGATTAGCTACAGTACAGCAACTAAGACATTTGCCTGCCTCCCTTTTTCCCTCTCTCCCTCCCTCCCTCCATCTCTTTCTCTCTTCCTCCTGCTCTGTTTTACTCCCTCCTTTTCTCTCCAGTGGTACTAGGAACTGAAACCAGGGCCTTCACACTGAGCTATATCCCAAGGCCTTTCTCTTCTTTTATTTTTGAAAAAGTGTCTCACTGATTCTGCTAAATTGTCCCTGTTGGACTTGAACTTGTGATCCTACAGCCTCACACTCCGAGAGTTGAGTGCTGAGTTACCGGAGTAAGCCATCGTGTATATGCCCACTTGCACATACTTCTCATAGCAATGTCAAATGGCATAAATTTACTGAAACGTAAATTTTGGAAACACATATAAAGAATTATAACATAACTTATTCTTGGATTCCAAAATTTTATGTCAAGGTAGGTGATTATAAACATTTATACACAGCATTGTTCATCACAATATACTATCGTACAGAAAAATCTGCAATTTCAATGCTCAAAAATGGGAGAATAATTATGTTGTATTATTAAAAATTTGTTTGCCTGATTTATTTCACACAACATGATGGGCTCAAGGTACATCCATTTTCCTACAAATCATTCAAGTTTATCCTTCTTTAAGGAACAACAGTACTCCACTGCGTATTTTCTTTATCGATTCATCTACTCATTGACATACAAGCCACGTCTAAGATTTAGCTATTAGAAATTTTGCTGCTATAAACATTAGGAAGAATGAAAATAACTGCTATTAATATCCATGTAGTTTAGTCCCCTTTTCTCTAAAAATGAGTATGCATCAATCCCTTTAATAGGATGCTTTAACTCTTTGGGAAGACACCTAGAAGGGAATAGCTGGGACAGATGGAATTTCTAGTTTTAGGGTTTGAGGAATCTCCAATCCTGACTTCCATAGTGGTTGTACTAGTTTACATTCCCACTACCAACACTGAGGGTTCCTCTTTCCTTGCAGCTTTACCAGTATTTGTTATTAATTGATCTCTTAATGATGGCTATTGTTTCTGGAGTAAGACGGAATCTCAAAATGGTGTCGATGAGGACATAGGCGTATGAGATTTTACTCCTACTCTGCCAGCAGGAATGTACACTGTCACAACCTATGGAGAAAAATCTAAAGACTTATGCTTTTATCCAATAACTACTCACTGAGTGAGGGGAAAGGTATATAGCTCAGTAGTAGAATACTTGCCTAATAGGCATGAGGCCCTGGTTAGATCCCAAGAACCATGAAAAGAAAAGGAAAACAACACAAAACAAAAGGCAAAACTTACATCTAGTAAGTATACTAGATATACTAGTATACTAGATACTTGGAATATCTACCACACCTTAAAATGCAAATATCATTGGACCTAGCAATTCCAGTTCCAGGAATTTATCCTTTTAAACTAGTTTATAATGGCAAAATCTTATAAATTACCTAAATGTCCATTGGTGAAAGCCAAGTAAAACATAGACCAACACATCCTTATACCAACATACTACCTGGCATATGAGAAAAAAGGGTTCTTTATGCATTTATATGAAAAAACCCACACAACATGTTTTTAAGTAAAATAAATTACATGCCACATAATATAAAATGCTACAAGTTATAGGGGGATGTGGATGTTTACATAGCATTATCTCTGGAAAGGCACATAGAAATTGTTAAAATTGGTTGTCTCCAGAGAATAGAAATGGAAAGGCAGAAAGGTGAAAGACTTTCATCATATATGCTTTTGTACTTTCTGATTCCAAACTATATGAAACCATTGTTCACCAAAGTAAGCAAAATGTAAATTATTTAAAAATAAAAAAAATATTATAAATATAAAGAAAAAAATGTTCAATTACATGAAAAAATATTATACAGTGTTAAAAGGAGAAATAGGGCAAAATTATATGCATGTGTATATGTATATGTCTATAAGTATATATACCCATATAATTTTATTTTAAAAAGAAAGTATTTTAAAAATATACATAAAACATTTTTTAGAGAAAAAGGGACTAAACTACATGAATATTGATAGCCATTATTTTCATTCTTCCTAATCTTTCTAAAATGAGTAAATGTCACTTTTATAATCAGAAAAATGTCATAAAAAACACTAACTGATCTAACAAATAATAGTGAGGAACAGATGACAATACATTGCAATAACGGACAGTAAAGAATCCCGCAAAACGATTCATATTGGCCTACCATGTTGGGCCACAAGGGGCCTCTTAACCACATAGAAATAATAGGCAAGAAGGGTTCCTCAGAAAGATTTTCAAGACTGTTATAAAATTTCAGTCTAATATACTTTCTATATCTTGCTACAACTATAAAGATAAAGAAAACAATCTGGGTATGCTGACAACAATGGAAGAGAAAAATTAGTAGTACTCCATAGATACCCAGGTAGACCTTAGGGCCTCATATTCAAATAAATGCCATCATGAATAATTGAAAAGTTGACTCTCAGGGACATTTTGTTTATTCACATGTAAAACAGGTCAGAGTCCATTAAAATAAACTTAAGGAGATACAAATACTCCACATAATGTCCTGATTATACCAGAATCTCACTGAGAGCATTAGGAGTGCTTAAAACCAGGGCTCTTCCTGGGAAGTAGAAATATATTCATTAAGTAACAATTTTTTTGTAGTTCTTATTTGACCTTTATCTAATTCCCTTTCTGAGAGTCAGTCTCATAGCTCTAGGCTTGAAATAAGCAGCATGAGTCCAAACTTTAGAATTTGCTATATTTACTTTTCAGATAATAGGATTTTAAAACTCATAATCTGTTCAGGAAAATAAAGAAAAACCCTTCTTCAGGCCCTGAGTCTCCTGCTCACCTTTGTTTCTATTTCAAGTGCCAAGCACAGTGCCTTGTAGCCACAGATACTACTTAATAGGCATTTGTTTAAATGAATAGGCCCTGCCACTGTAGGTTTGAAGTTAGTTAAGTGTAAAATAAATTTAAAATGAGGCCTTTGATGTGACAAAATTTCAGCAATCATTTCAACAAGTATTTTAAAAACTAGAAATCAAGTCATAAAATTGAAGATTTAGCATTGCATGAAGATAATATCCTTTATGATTTGAATAAATTAGTAAAATACACTTGAGGATATATATATCATTGAACCAATGCAGGAGTAATACTACATAAAAAGTTCAGTATAAAGAAAACTTCAGTGGGACCAAAATAATTACTTCCAAATAAATTCAAGTTGGTGATTTATTGAGTGTCTACTATGTGCACTATTCTAGGACCTAATAAATAAGATACACATAGTAGTCCCCATGAAAATTAACTAGAAAATAAACAACAAGCCTTCTACCTCCTATTTTATAATGGGTTGCTCAGGAAAATAACAGGGCTCAGAGACGATCTAATATTACACAATGATCCAATCCAGCACACCTTACGTTAAATGGCTTTTGAAAATAACTTAATGTGAATTGGTTTGAAAAGGGTCTCTGATGGAGGAAATGGCTTTGATGGCTACCTAGATACCACAAAAGCACAGGATCTAGGCATTTCATCATTAGATCCAAATTAGCTGGATGACTCTGAAGGTTTCCTAGGCATTTTACAGAAGTTGAACCTTAGAGACATGCTGACAGCTATGGCAGTCTTCCTTTTTCAATCTTGGATCCCACAAAGTTGGCTGCTTTACAGAATGGCATTAAGTAAGAAGCTAAGGGGTGAGAAACATCAAGTTTCTAGCTGATGGCTCAAGGCACAAGTAACAGCTGCAGCCATCAAACAGCTACCAGGGCACATAGTGAGAGCAACCTCCCAAGGAAAGGACTTAGACAAAGAGCTTTAGCCAATATCAACAGGGAGATCAAGTCACATCCTTCCAGCACACGGCAGTGGCAAGTACATTTCTGTATGTGTGTGCCCCACACTGGAGAACCAGTATTAGAACTCAGGCACTGACACAAAGTCTATTCCTTGTAATGACAGATTCTTCATATCAATGATGTTACAAAAACTGGAGTCTGATAGTTCCAGGAATCCCATCCCATGTCAATTTTCAGGACAGCAAGGTAATAAATGAAAATATTTAGAATTATTGAGATATAATTTATCAGCTGTAGACATTACACACTGCACCTATACATATAAAAAGATTTACACTAAGCTAATAAAATACACAAATTCAGTAATATATTTTCCAATAGTTAATAAGATGATCTAAAAAGACAGTAATTAAATTTAGTCTTCATTCCAACTAAATGTAAAATACAAAATAAAGGCAAAATACAATGCCAAACCAGAATTTTAACTTCTAAAATCATTTAAACAATCTATTTTATGGCAAATAAAAGCAAACATGTTGGAATAACTTTCTGTAATTAAAAAAAAAAAAATGGGACTCCTCTCCCTTTTTTTTCCCTTCCCATTGTAAGTCAAAAGAGAATCATAAATTCTATTCAGTCTTCTTTCAGATGCAGAAAAAGTACCTTTCTTTTTTTTTTTTTTTTTACTTCCAAGAGAATCTTATGTTCAGTAAAGCCTGGATCAGTAAATAACATTTCTCACGTGAATAAAAGATTGCCATTTGGTATGAAAAATATCAATATTTCTCTTAAAAATTATGAATATGGAAGGATATGCATTTTTTAAAATTAAAAGTTAGGACATAACAGGCATTACTTGATCACCATTAGTCTTAGATATAGTGTAAAAGATAATCCCCAAAACCAAACTAAATCGCCACAGCTTAAATGGGCCCAACCGCATCAAGAACCTTTACTAGTACAATACGAGAAAGATGTGAAGCAGATTCTTCAGTGCAGCTGCCATACTTAAAACATACTCATTCTTATGCTTCTCATGTTTTTATGTATAAGTTTAAAAATAAGTTTAATTTTAAAAGAAAGATTTTTAAAATTCTTGGTATTACCAAATACCTTAATTTTTTTCAAGTTCGTGAATAAGATACATTATCTCACTGTAATCTTACTTCCCTGATTATAGCTCTTCATAGGCATATCAGTCACACCACATTCTTCAATAAAAGAATTGTTCAGGAAAAACATTTAAATCCCATCCTCAGGACCCATGTTGCTCAACTACAGTTTCCATAATATGTATAAAGAAAGCACAAATCCTTTGCTGTGTTCCAAGTTATCGTCTATCAGAATGAATCCTTCCCACTAACTACCACATAAATGCCTTCACAAAAGGATGCTGAAATTTAAAAATGGTGAGTACAAATTAAATTTCCCACCATGCTTTTTATGTACCCCATGGGTGACAGTACCTCTGTTTTTAATGATAGTCCACTGTTAAGAAATATTGTTGCGACAGCAATGTAGGATACAGTTATTTCTGGCTTCAGTGGCCCTAAAAAGAGAGAAATGAATTACAATTAGGAAAGAATTTTCATTATGAAAGAAGAACCTATTAGAGGAGTGAATGGTACTTTAAGTAATCTTGCCCCTAGGGTCCTACAGTCCTGAGACAGTTGAGCATTTGCTGTGCTGCAACCTGGTTCCAGCGTGGATTTTCCAGGGAGGATATGGACTAAGAATGTCTGGTTCAGCACATTATCCTCAGACCAGAAGAATGGGTAAGCAACAGCCTTCACGATAGGTCCTAATTACACCCACCAGGTTATCACTCCTGATAACAAAATACCTCAAATTCAAATCAAATAATCAGTGGAAGAAGTTCCTTTCTCTAATTTAGCAATTATCATTTTATTTCTTCTAGGGTAATAGAAATAAAGTATTCACGTCCACATTCAGCTCTGCCCAAGAATATTCATTATGTACTGAGCACCTATTATGTGAATGAAATACTGCCTATAGAATTCTGTACTTAGTAATGACTTGTTATGATTTTTAAGGATTAAGTTATGCTAAGTCCTGGGGACACTGTGCTGAACCAGACAGGTCTGGTCCTTGCCCTCCAGAAAATCTTCTGTAGAGTTGGGTGGGTATCACTGAACATGTATTAATGCTGTAAGAACAGGGGTCACCCTGACATTTAAAATATCATCTGTGACTTGTATACAATCAGCTGGAGATATCACATACTAATCCAAGAACAAGATTCTCCTAAAGGATGCAATTCTAAGAAAATGCCATTTTATACCTGTGCATAAGTAGCTCTCCAGCACTGGAAACTGTGCCACCTAAAGATATCTGGCAATATTTGGAAACTTTTTGTTTAACCTAACTCTGGGTGGAGGGTGTGGTACTAGCATCTAGTGGGCAGAGACCAGGAATTCTTGCAAACTCCTGGGAGATATAGAACAGTCCTCCAAAAACAAATTATCATGTCCAAAATGTCAATACCACCCAAGTTGAGGAATCTTTGTGTAACTCAACATTGAAACATATGAGATCATCTCATATTTGACATTCTATTTGTCCCTTTTGCACCGAACTGAGTTATATCTCCCCAAAATTCATGTCTACCCAGAAATCCAGAACCTATGAAAGTGAACTTATTTGGAAATAGGATCTTTGCGGATACAATCAATTTAAGATGAGATCTTACTGGATTAAGGTGGTTACTAATCCAATGACTTGCATTTTTACGTGAGGGAAATTTGCATACAGATACACACACAAGGAAGACAGCCTTGCAAAGACAGAAGCAGAGACCAGGATTATAATGCCACATGCCAAGGAATGCAACCAGAAGAAAGGAAGAAAGGATTCGTGCGTGTGTGTGTGTGTGTGTGTGTGTGTGTGTGACTGAGCTACATCCCGGGTCCTTTTTATTTTTCATTTTGAGACAGGAGCTCACTAAGTTGTTCAGTTTCCTAGGCGGAGCTCGAACTTGTGATCCTGCTGCCTTATCCTCCCACAATGCTGGGACTACAAGTATGTAACCAACATGGCCAGTTTGGAGAACATCTTGACTTGGAATTTCTGGCCTCCAGAACTGTGAAAGAATAATTCTCTGTTGCTCTAAGCCACATGGTTTATAGTAATTTGGTTTTTGTTTTTTTGTTTTTTGGGGTTTTTTTTTAGGTCATTTGTTTTTTAACCTGTTACTTGGCTCCTTCAAAATCCTCCACAAAAAAAAAAAAAAAAAAAAAAAAAAAAAAAAAAAAGAAAAAAAAAGAAAGAAAGAAACTAATAAAACTTTGGTCCCATGTTTGTCATCCCTGGTACCAAAAATAAATAAATAAATAAACTAACAAAGTCCTCCACCAAACCTACAGATACTGCTCAGTAAATTAGTGTAAGACCAACAAATATATACTGAGCATCTACTATATCTTTGCCATTTGTAGCACTATAATGTGATAAAAGAAAGATCTCAAACACTGTAATACATTATTTTATACACTTGGAATTAACACAAATCATTTTTCTAAGACCTGAGGAAAGGTATTATATTTCAGAGCTTTAATAAAGTTCATAAACTTTTAAGAAGAGTCCATTATTTTTATAACTGTAAGTGAATCTATTCAGTTCACATTGAGATGTAATATTTCTTCAACAGCTGAGAAGGTGAAGGTGATTCAGGAACAGATTTTAAAGTCAAAGAGCCTGGCTTGTTTCAGAAGTACGGTAGATGGTTTAGAGGAATGTTAAATACCTTGTTTTTTGAAACTTCTGTTATTTTTATTTTCCTCCCAATCCCTGCTTTTTTATGAGACACTTTTGTTGATTACGAATCTGTTCACAGTGGTGCCTCCAGAGCTTCTAACGGTAGTGGTGAGAGTCAGCACAGGACAGCCAGAGGGCATGTCTAAAAGGCGTCTCCATAGACAGCATGTGGCATTTACTTGCACTGCATGTCTCTGCAAAGGGATAGAAAGCATCTACCGTAGTTCCCCGATTAACTATTTGCTGCTGTCACTGTTGTTGTTGCTGTTGTATTGGCAGTGATCAGGATTGAACCCAGGGACTCAAACATGCTAGAAAATTCTTCTACCACTGAAGCGCATCCCCCAACCCCATGTGCATTTACGTTGCCAGGCTGGTCTTGAACTTGCCATGCTCCTGCTAAGGTCTCCTAAGACGCCGATTACAGGCATATACCACCAGTGACATAGCTTAACTTTCTTTTTTTTTTTTTAAGCATACAATGTAAGTTTTATTATAAAATTTTGTACTTAGTTATAGCCATTATCATTTTATTAAAAATTCCAATCTAGCCAAGGATTTAGCTCAGTGGTACTGCACCTGCCTCGCAAGCGCAAGATCCTGAGTTCAATCCTGGTACAAAAAATAAAATTTCAATCTGAAATATATATGCCTTCCAAATGGAATGCTCAAAATCATTTTTACAATTATAGACACCACTAATAGCCTATAAAACCCAAATTGTTATTTTATTTAGCAACAGTGTCTCTAGTAATCACAAGCCAATTACCTATATTTGATTTGTCTAATATCTAAGTCAACAAATATTTCCTATTTGAGAATCTTAGCAGCGTATGAAATATTTTATATTTTCTTAACTTTGATTTTTAAGAAGGTAATTCTTCCTATAATCCATACACAAATATAAATACAAAAAATGATTAACATAACTTGATGGAATAATCCTGGACTTTTAATGTCTTAAATCCTAGAGACAAAACTACCTTTTGTAATGGATGTACATTTAAATAACTCTAATCCATGAAAGGATGTGGTGGGGATATTCTGGGGCTACTTAGAACATGTCTGTCGGGGGAAAGAGGAATTAATTTTCATTTGGACAAACTCAAGGTCCCTCAGACATACTCACCTGAGAGACTAAAAGAAAGCCCAATTTTGGAATGCAGAATGGTAAGTCATCCATGGCCAAAATAAAAGCTTGTCAAATATTTACACAGAGAAGTCAGTTGAAACTGTAGCATAAAAATGATATTTGGCCCTTCTTCAAACTAATAATTATATCCTTCAAGTTTCCAAAATAACTAGATTGAGGTCTTAACATAGTTACAAAGCTCCAACAGGTATGTTTTTACTTTTTCTTTAGGTAAAATTCAAAAAAATATTTATCAACAAAAATAGAATTGGGGTAACACAATCAAAAGAAAAACTGGCCATGAAAAAATGAAGCCAATTGGCATGGTGGTGCAGAACAAGAGAAACACCACAAGTTCAAGTCCAGCTCGGGCTACAAAGTGAGTTTAAGACAAGCCTAAACTACACAGCAAAAATCCTGCACCAAAAAAAAACAAAAACAAACACACAAAGGGCCGGGGATTTAGATCAGTGGTGCAGGTGCCTTCCTGGCAAGCACAAGGTCCTGAGTTCGATCCCCCATACCACACACACACACACACACACACACACACACACACACACACACAGTAATTTAGGGGCTCCAAAATCCATGCTTTTTAATGGGAAGAAAAAAGGAAAATGTTTTGGAATACTGAAGAATGCAAGAAACTATTATGCATTAGACAAAAGCCACCCATCAACACAGTAAATTTTACTTGCAAACACCTAAAATATTGTAAGATATTCACAGCAATATACTTAAGCTTGCAGAATGTTTCTTGTTATATTTTTTGATAGAAAAAAAGCAGTTTCCTTTTTTAGGATTAACGTTTTATTAATTGCAATAGTTTAAAATGCAGGTAGAAATGACAAACTTTTACAAATCCAAAGAAAGAACTCCAAAAAAATGAACAGCACAGTGCTGAACTCCTGTAAACTCTAGCGGTACAGTAATACCTCAGGTCTTCCTGAGGTCACAGTGGAAGAGATTACCAACCCCGCAGAATCTAAATACTTACATCCACTACAGCTTTTTATTTTCAATCTTCTATGTATTTAAAAACTGAAATGTAACTAAGTAAAAAAGAACACTGAACTCAGAACTCAGTTAGCTGAGCTTAATATAATTCTTCCTACTAAAAAAGTTCAACTTCTCTAATCTTAGTCATTCCTACATCAATAAATTTTGTGTTATACCAACCAACTACAACTCTATATGTATTATTTTATTATTTATATTTTATTAGTACATGCTTGTGGTAAATAATAATCACACTCCTCATAGGGAGTTGGTACATACATATAGCACATCTTAATTATTTTTTCTTTATCACCTTTCTTTCCCTTTCTTCCTCTATCTCTTGATCTTGTTCCCATATACAAAAGATCTATCTCACTATTTCCTATTATCTATCTTTTATTTTGCTTTCTATTTACATTTTGAGCTTCTCATATAAGAACCACGCTATATTTAAACTTGTATGTCTGATATGTTCCACTTAACATGATTGTTTCAGGTGTGACTCTTTCCCTATAAATGATTCAAATTTATCCTTTATGGTACAGTAGTACTCCATAGCATATCAACTTATCTGTTGATAGACATATAGGCCACTTCTAAGATGCAGCTATTGTAAATTGTGCTGCTATAAACACGAGTATTCATGCACCATCATAGTATGAGGGCTTTGCCTCTTTGAGGAAGATACCTAAAGGGAAATACAGTAGCTGGGTCAAATGTAATTTTTTTTTTTTTTTTTTTTTTTTT